CCCTCAAACTCACTGTGTAGCTGATGTTGACCTTGAACTTCTGATCCTCCTGTCTTCACTTCCCAAGTGCTGGGACTACAGGCATGTTCTACCATCCCTAGTTTAGGCAGTGCTGGGAACGGAACCTAGGCAAGGCCAGTGCTTACCAACTGACCCATATTCCCAATACCAGAACCTGCTGGCATCAAGCAAGTGTTGGCTTCACGTCGCGACACAGCCACTCCGGCCTGCCTTCTAGAACCAGAACAGAGTTGCAGAGAACCGTCTTCCAGAATCCACCTCATTAACCAAAGGTGCGCTTGATGCAAGGCGAGGGGGCAGCGCAGCCCCCACAGGCCTGCCTCAGGCCTCACCCCAGAAACCACACGGGCTCTTCCAGTTCCTCTTCCAGCCAAACCCTAGGGGCTGGTGACACCCTGGAGGTTCCGAGCCAGCTGGCTTCACAGCTGGGTAGCTCCTGGCTACACGGATTTCTTGTCAAAAACTGAGATGTTGCAAGCTGGGGAGATGGTTTAGTGGGTATGAGGCCCTGAGTTCAAACTGCGGAATCTACATAAAAAGCCAGTCATAACCAGTAACCAGAGTACCTGGGTGGAGGGAAGCAGAGACAAGAAGATCCCTGGGGCTTGCTACCCACCAGCCTAGATGAAAAACACCAAGCTTCAGGCTCAGTGAGAGACCCAGGCTCAGGGGAATGATGTCGGAAGCAAGAGAGAATACACAATGTCCTCTTGTCTCACAGGCATATCTATCCTCACACACATGTACACACACACACTGAGCCAGTTTCAAGGGAATAGTGTGGAGAGCAACAGAGAATACACAATCACAGTGTCTAGTCTTCTCCTCTAGCCTCTCAGGCATATACATACATACACACACACGTACACACATGCACAAGGACACACACTGACCCATTCTAGCACTGACTCTCACTCTGAAACTGCACGCAGAATTAAAACAAAGCAACTGGCTTTGACTTTTGTTTTGTTTTTTAAGACAGTTTCATGTAACTCAGTATCTGGGTCTGGGCTTGAACTCACCATGTAGCTGAGGATGACCCTCACTCCTAGTCCTCTCGCCTCTGCCTCTCCGGTGCTGGGGTTATGTGACAGGTGTGCACCTCTAGACACAGTTTGTGTGGTGCTGGGGCTCAGGCCCAGGTTTTCACACATGCTAGACAAGCATTACCTGTGAGCCACAGCCGGCTCCCAGACCTCACTTCTGTCAGGGCAGAACTCAGATGTGAGATGCAGCTTGGATCTGAGGGGAGAGGCTGAGGTGTGATGGGGAGGGACATTCATCACCTCGAGGACCAGAAGAACACCATCCCTGGTCTGGTCCAGGCCCTACAAGAGGTGACAAACTCCCTGAGTGCAGCCGACACTGTGACATCATCCACTCACTGCAAAGCAAGCTTTCAATTTCCTTTTCACAAGTTCCCGCATATGTGTGTTATGCATGTGCGCATGCGTGCATGTGTATATGTCTTCGTGTGCACATGTGTGTTACACATCTGTACATGTGTGCAGGTGGGCCTCCCACACAGGAGTACATGCCAAAGGCTGACATCAGGTGTGTCCCCCTATTTCTCTCCACCTCGTTTTTTCAAGATCTCTCACCAAACCCAGAACTCACCAATTCAGCAAGCTAGAGAGCGCCAGGGATGCCTCTGTCTTCTCTCCTGGATGCTGAGATCACAGGCACGCCTGGCCGCTCTTCAGCCATCCTGAGGACTGAGCTCAGGCCTTCTGCTGGCCCAGTAAGCACCGTGCCCACTGAGCCGGCTGCCCCGCCCTTCGAGGTTTCTGTTCAGCAGAGGTTTCCACTCTCTGCTCCAGCACAGCAACTCTGAAGGAGACTGGGGCCTTTAACAGGCACACGTTCTCCGGCCACCGTAGACCCTGCCAACTTCTCCCTCTTGTGCACAGGCATAATTTCTCTGGGCATTTGAGTTGACAAATCTAATTTACATGAAGCATTGCGTATTAACACTCATCCTGAGTCACAGCAGGGCAAAAACTGGGAGCCTGCCTGTTGGCTTCTAGAAACTTCCCTGGAACACAGCAAAGGAACCAGAGCACTTGACTAAAAATCTGTGGCATAGCCCCAGAGGACTCTACATCCTGCTACAGAGACACTGGCTCATCCATATTGATTGTTGCTCTTTTCTCAATAGCCAGGAAATGGAACCAGCCTACATGTCCATCAACCAATGAGACTGTGGTCCATGTACAAGATGGAGTTCTATTTAGCCTTTAAAAATGAAATTTACAGGAAGATGGATGGAACAGGAGAAAAAGTAAGATAACCTAGGTTCAGGGGGAGAAACACCACATGTTCTCGCTCACAAGCAGAGCTTGGCTTCTTTCTGCATGTGTATATTTATGTGGGAGTGATTGTGTGTGGCTATGGAAACTAGAAAGCAGATCATGAGAGGATCATGAAAGCAAAGAGGCTTTAAGGGAGAGGGCTGGAGAGTGACAGGAAACCGGAAGGGGTGGAAAGGTGCGAAGGGTTATGAGTGCAGGGACAAAGGGCCCTGGGACAGCAGCCAACACAGAGTAAGTGCATCATGAGGAAACCTGCTACTTTATATGCTGATTTAAGAAGAGAAAGGGGTTGGGATGGAAAGATGACTCAGTTGGTAAAGGGCTTTCCTTGCAGGAAGACCTGAGCTCCATCCCCAGGGCCCACAGGAAAAGTGGAACTATTGGCACAGGCGCTGGGGCCCAGCAGTCAGCCATTCTAGTCAAATTGTTGAGCTTTAAGACAATGAGAGATGCCATCTCAAAGGACAGAGGACAACACCCGGGGTTGTCCTCTGACCTCACATGCATGCATCCCTGTCCCCACCCGCAGGCACTCAAAATAAATAATTTTCTATGCCCTGGTGGCATTAACTGGCCCCATGTGCTGGCAAAGAGCAGCCTTCATTTTGCAGCGCAAATGCTCCTTGTTAACTTTTCATGATGCTAAAAGCTTAAAACCAAAACCAGCCATAGGCAGAACAGCCATGAAGTGGTCTATTTCAGTCTCACCCCAAAACGAATAAGAGGACCACAGAAGCCTTGGGTCCTCCAAGGACAGGGCCCATCTTGTGGCTCTTCACCATTTAAACCTGACATGGGCAGATCCTTAGACACTGATGCAGTGAGGCAGGGTCAATGTCACAGGGCCTCTTCACCTAAGAGCGCCCGCGCCTTGGGATAATGAGCAACTGCACACAGCTTCTGTGACCGAGAGGAAAAACAGGGAGCATTTCTACAGAAGCCTCCAAGAAAGTCATTTATCCCATGGCATTATGCCTGCTGGAAATTAATCTTTAATATCTTCATAAATGAATGTGTCACCTGGCACAGTGCTAAAAACCCCCACCTGGTGATAGTTCTTCACATTCAGGTGTATTCACATCCTCTGAAAAATGCAGGGTGTCCGCTGCCTGACGTGTAACATACATAATCACACTTGGTGCCTTCTACATTAAGCAGATTCAGATTCTAACAGAACGGGACATGTGACATAGAGTTTGATGAAGAGGATAGGTATAAAACCTGCAGCAGCCGGGCAGATTGTGGAGAGATATTGCCATCATCAGACAAGAAAGAGCCCAAGCACGGACACAGCAGTGCTATTTCCTTGTGATAACGCCACTCCTGAACATGACTGAATACACTAAGTAGGTACCTTCCTACCCTGCTTTCCACCTTTCCTTTCTGTTATTTCCTGAGAGATTAGAGGGAGAACCAGCTTCAGGCCAATTTTGGTGCTAAACAACAGCTAAAGTACTGATAGACTAAGAAAGAGATGGCTTAAAGGGAGGAAAAAAACAATGTAAACAGCCACTTGGATGCCTCTACAAAGCATGTAGTAGAATATCTAAGTTTTCCTTGACTCTGTTTCTATCTCTCTGTCTCTGTCCATCTGTCTGTCTGTCTGTCTCTCTCTCTCTCACACACACACACACACACAGACAGACAGAGAGAGAGAGAGAGAGAAAGAGAGAGAGAGAGACAGAGGAATAGGGATTCCTCCAAGATGACACAGGATCTATGAGAAACAGAACATGGGTAGTTGTATGGATTTTTCCTCCAAATTGAAACAGTGCCTCCTGGAGCAAGGTTCTTTAAGACTAAGGGAGCTAAAGAAACTCACAAGGTGCAGGAGGCCAACAAAACTCACAAGTAGAAAGCTCCTAAAATTTACAAAACTCACAAAGTCCTACCCCCAGAGTCACATCAACATTCTACAAGCACAGACGCAATAGGTCATCCAAATGATTAATGTGCAGTCTCCTTAACCATCCTGAATTGTACAAAATGGTGTGCTGTGGTCAAGCTGAAATCCAAACACATCCTACAAGCCAATGTGTCTCATTTACACTGGCAAGAAGCCGAATGTGAAAATTATAATGTCAGCATCTTCATCACCAAATCAGTTGACTTCTACAGAGGCTGCCTAACAGAAGTTTCAAAAATATCCAGAGAGGATAGGGGAAGAAAGCATTAAAAGTAAGGACAAGACAGTGAGAAACATCTCTGTCAGAAACTGTGTCCTCTGGTTTATCTATCTAGATGTCAGGTATGCTAGGAAACCAATGGAAACAGATTTACATACTGCATTGGGGTGCAAAAGAAAACAGAAATCCGGATCACAGCAATCATTAGATGGTGCAGACAAAGACAGGATCACAGCTGCATAGATAGAATTCCATTCTTGTTGACGAAAATAAAGACATCTTGCTTTAAAACTAGTCTAAAGGCCTAAGGAGTAGGACACGGAAGGTAGCACCAGCTCAACTATGTGAAGTCTCGTCTGACCCAGAGCTTCACTCTGCTCTGTCACTTGTGTTCCTGCAGTGAGTTCTTTTGGCCCCTAAAAGTGTTGTATGGTCTCTCTCCATCAGCTCAACGGCCTCCCTTACACAACCACTGCAGCAATACTGTGTGAGAATCAAGGTGGGAACTTCAGGGAAGAAGGCTGGGATAGAAGGACCTTACCACTTCAGGGAGCAGCCTTGTTGAAAGGTCATGGATGGCTTTGACCACTATGCATATGGATGACAGAAGGAAGATCACCCCCAAGATGACACAGGCTCTGTAAGAAAAAGAACACGGACAGTTGTATAGTTGTTTCCTCTAAATTAAAACATTTCCCCTTGGAGGGAAGCTCAGTAATCCTCAGAAAGTAAAGGAAACTTACAAGTCTTAAGAAGTCAACAAAACCCACAGGTGTAAGGAAACTCCTGAAACTTACAAGACTCACAAGGACCCTTCTTGAATGTTATATAAACTAACAATTGCTTAGAACAGATGAGTTTCTTCAGTGGAGCTGCCTGAAAGTTACAAAGGGAGCTCCTGGGGTGCAACTTTTGTGACTTGTCCCATGCTGGGGTGGGCTTTTCAACGATGGAGCTGCCTTTACTCCTATAAGTACCCAATGTAACCCACTGTTCACTAATCTATATAAATGGGATCCTTTCTTTGGTATGTTGTCAATTCCTTATCTGCGATGGATCCCAGGGGTTGGCCGAAGGTTAATAGCCAAGCCAGTGAGCAACAGGTTCGGTGAAAGTAAGATGGTAAATGACAGAAGATGAGTGAGATTGACCTCTGGCCTACACACACACAAAGAGAAAGGGAGAGGGGGTGAGAAGGGGGAACAAATATAGGTAATAATCTGTCTTCCATTTCCCAGTCTCTACAGCACCATATAGCTGGTGCCCTGTATGCACCTGTTTAGTGGATATGGCCAAGTAACCAGTTAGATAACCAAACTAATTACTAACCATTACTAGTTTACCCACCTGGGAGTGTCTCGTCAGGAGTGTAAGGCAGCTTCTGACAGGTCTGAGGAAAGAAAGGGGACTCCTAACCTTCAGCCCTGTGTCCTTGGACCAGCCACCGTACGGCAGCTCTGACGTGTACTGAGAAGTCAAAAGGAGTTTGACATCCAGTTTGCTACATTTGGAATGTGCAAGCTGCAGCCTACCTGGTGTGTGTGCTACCAGTGTAGCTAAGATGGGCTCAAATGTTTCTAAAGTCTCACTTTCTTCTTCTTTTCAGTGTGTTACAGATGTGAAAACCAGAGCCCGTTTCCCAAATCAGTGCCAGGGCCTGTGTGTCAGAGCCCTGCTGCTTCTGCAGCCTGAAGCGGCTATGAATAGCTCGGGCTGCAGTGCTATTTTTTAACATTGTATTAATAATATATTGTGTTTACACAGCAGCTTTCTCTGCAGGCACTGGGAGTTGTGCACAGCAGCTCCTGAACTCCCGGGAGGGCTCCGCACACCCCGGTGTTTGCTTTTCTGTAGTTTATGAATGGGGAGGGAGATGTGGGTTTCATTAACACAAGGAGACAAAGTCAGAGAGCCTTGCGTTAGGGGGCCTGGCTCAAGGTCATGCTTGGGCTTGAACTCTACCTAGGAACAGAGCCTGAGGGGCCAGCAGAAGGCTCAGAGGGTAAAACGCTGGAGGCCCTGTGTTTGGATCCCAGCAGCCACATAAAGAAAGGACAGCTAGATCCCCAGAGTACATTAGCCAACCAACTAGCTGCATCACTGGTTCTCCAGTCAGTGAGCCATCATGTCTCAAAAATCGAGTGTAAAGGGACTGGAGAGCTGGCCTCACAGCTAGGAACACTTATGGCTCTTCCAGAGTGCCTGAGTTTGGCTCTAAAACCAACTGCGGCTCCAGCAGAGGGGATCCAGCACCCTCTCCTGGCCTCTGAGGGCACCTGCACACATGTGGCTTACACACACACACACTTAAATTTAAACATGAAACATAAAACCAAGCAGAGATAGATTGAGGAACATATCTGATGTCAACATCTAGCCTCCCCACATGTGTAATCACGTACACATGTACCTACACAGAGGAAAATGTACAAGACACACACACACACACACACACACACACACACACACACACACTCCACAAGAAGACGAATCTGATTCAGTTAATGACCTCCCAGAGGCCAGCTTATTCAACAGAGACTCTGGCCACCATGTCATGTGACCGCCACCCCTCTAGACCCTCCAGAATGCCTCAAAGATTTGGGTCAGAAGCAATTGTGACCTCTTCGACGTCGGTACTAACGGAACTACTTCTGGGTCTGAGCAGAGGGGAACTGGCTTCCTCCACACACAGCAGGCCTAGCTGAGCGAAAGGGGTGCTGAGGTCTCCAGAGAGAATACACACTCTTCTTCCTTCCTGCCTACACCCTGCACAGCTTCCCGAGTTAAAGAGAACAAATGCCCTCCCACCCCTTCAATAAAGCAAATATACCATCCATGTAAACCCTAACCAGTGGCTCAGAACTGAGCTGAAATTCCCATGCAACGTGTGTGTGTGTGTGTGTGTGTGTGTGTGTGTGTGTGTGTGTGTCCCACACGCTGCCGGAATCGACATCACCTGAGAACTTGCTAGAGAGAAATTCTGAGTGCATCTACCTCAGACCTGCTATTGGTCTCTGCCTCGAACACACCTAGCAGATACCCAAAGGCGGTGGTTAGCAGCCTGCTAACCAGGAAAGAGGGGCAGGCTCCCCCTCAACCCTGCAGGCTGCTGTGATTCTGGTGTCACCTAGTAAGACCAGAAGTAAATTCTTCTCAGCCTTCTCAAGTATTACCACCTCATGCCGAGAAACCTTCTGAGCACTAGAGCATGGCACAAAAGTCACAGCAGGGTGAAAGTCAGGAAGGCACTGAATGCTGACCTCCAGCCTCCACATAAACACACACAAGCTCACGTGTGTACCCACACTCATGCACAGTACACATACAAACAGGTACACACACACACACACAATTTCCATAATAAAGAAGAGCAGCAAGTGTTTCCTGAAAAAGGCAGTTCAGGGACACATCAGAATTCCTTCTTTCATCATGTTAACCCTGCACACCCACTTGGTGTCAGGAACTACTCTCAGGAACAAGAGGTACAGAGACTTGGGGGAAGAACTTCCAGGCAGAGGGACGACAGGACTTTGAGGTGGAAGTCTTCCTGACATAATGCAGATACAACAAGCCTCTAAGAAGAGAAGGAAGGGGAAAGGGGAATGAAAAGCATAAGGGAAGAGATGAGGAGGTGGGGCTGGACCCTGTGAGTTCTTGGAGCCATTGCACAGTGTGGCATCTGTAGGGTAGGAAGCCACTGGGAGCCGGGGCTTGGACTTGATGGTCTGTGGCATAGTTCAGCAGGACTTTGCCCTCTTTGGCAAAGCAGATACAGGGAGAGCAATCAGGGGGCTGATACAACACCCAGGCCAGGTGAGGGTGGGACCAAGAAAGCTGGGATCAGAATGGTAAAACTTGAGGATGTGAGTCTGGCTTGAGAGCTGTCCTGACGGTGCGGTGGACAGGGTCGGTCAAGCTTCAAAACTAACAGGAGTCAAGAATGATGCATGGCTTCAGATCCTGGACAACGGACAGAGGGAGCTGTTCTTCCCTGAGATGGAGACCTCAGGAAGAGTAAGACACTAAGTTAGGGACTTCTCTCAGACATCCAACTGGACATATCCTATAGTATTTTTATTTTGAGACATGGTCTTATATAGCCCAAGCTGGTCCTGAACTCCCGATGTAGCTAAGGATGACCTTGAACTTCTGATCCTTCTGTTGCCCCCACCTCTCCAGTGCTGGGATGAGACCACCATTCTTGGTCTATATGATACTGGGAGTGAAACCCAGGGCTTGGTGTGTACTACGAAAGCACCCCGCCGATGGAGCCACATAGGAGAAGGCAGCTGGAGGTAGGAGCTTAGATTCCAGGTGGGGCTGTCCTTCGGGAGTCACCAGCACACAGACTGGGCTTAAGCCTTGGACACAGATGTGGTTATTCTTCTATTTTTCAAGAAAGAATAGCTGTCCAGAGGGAAGGGTCCGCACTGGGTCCTCGCTGAGAGGGCGGGTGAGAAGTGGACGAGGGTCCCCACAAAGGAACCTCTTGTGCCAAGCTGAGCTGTGCAGTCACCTGAAGCTAGGTAGAGCCTTGCAGCTTTGAACGCAGAGTGAGCTCATTAGATCTGCATTTTCAGAGTCTCCCTCAGGTCAGCTGTGTCATGAGCATAGCTGGACCTAACCTGACCCATCCGTTACTCCATGGTGACTGGGCACATACCCCTCCCCCCTGTGTTGTGGGGTCCCACAGAAGACTACAAGTTATTATGCCTTAACCAGAACCAAGGCACCTGGCCCACCAGAGCTGACCAATTTTCTTATATAGATTTTATTATATATGTATATATATATATATATATATATATAGAGAGAGAGAGAGAGAGAGAGAGATAGTGTCTCATGTAAGGCTGGCCTCAAACTTAATATGTAGCTAAAGATGCCCTTAAATTTCAGATCTTCCTGCTTCTACCTCTCAAGTGTTGGGATGACAGATGTGTGCCTCCACTCCTGGTGTGTGCGGTGTGGGGACAGAACCCAGGGCTTTGTGCATTCTAAGCAAGCTCTCTAGATTAAGCCTCACACCTAGCTGCTTTTTCCATAAACTTTAAGCCAAAACAAAAGCCAGCAAAGACGACTGAGATGGTTCATCCCAGAACAGGGATGGCTGGAGGGCTGGTGGGAACTGTCCACCAGATTGATTAACCAATGTCCCCAGGGGAAATCAGACTTCCCACACACCAGCTGACCTCCTCCAGATGAAGTGCCCCCTTAGAATCAGTCAGAGGCTGCAGGGCCTCGGAGCAATGCAGCACCCCTCCAGAGACATACCCCGTGATCAGAGAGTAACACCTGTCACGGCAACGTAGAGGTTCTCGAATTTGCTGACTATCAAGCAGCCGGGCTAACCCTTTGCCCCCGGAGATGGGCCACACAGTTCATGCTCATGGCTGCTCTACAGCAGAGAAAGGGAGCAGACTGACACCAGAAGCAGGCGGATTCCCAGCAGGCCTGCAGTCAACTGTTCCGCCACTCACACTCACTTATTCTCAGCTGCAAGTCCCGGGTGCAGGGCGAGGTTATTTCAGCACCTCTTCACGGGGGAGGCCACAAGTGACCGGCTGTCCTTGGGGCTTGTTTGTGTTCTCCATCGGCTCTGAGCGGCAACGACGCGCCAGGAGTGTTGAGCTGATTTGGC